TTTTGCAAACCCCTTATTGAATCTAGGGGAAAAAAAGAATTCTGAGAAAGATTGAGTTTTGTAATTTTCAAGTGACGTTAGTTATCTCTTAATTCTGACAAATTTAACAAATGGAAAGAAATTAAAAAATACGTTTCATCCGGAATATTTTAGTTAGAACCAAAAATAAGCCGGGTTGTGTTTGTTTTTGCTACCTCTCCCAACGGTAATCTCTAGCTCAAGTTTAATTCCTTGAAAACTCAAAAGAACCGCCTCCATTAGAAATGGAAGGATTGTAGGCAGACATATAAATATATTACGCTCTTAATTGTGGATAAAACGCGAGATTTTTTTTTTTCTCTCTCTTTAATTATGCTTAGATAATGAGGCACACATGTCTTCCATACCGCTAAAAAAATTATTGCTTCCTTACTCCACGAGCACTTTTAAATTTTCGTTTCAAGAAGGACACTGGGAATTGCTTCCGTTAAGTTTAATGGCGTGTGTAGCTCACAACTAAGCAGCGATTGTACTACACAAGGATTAAAAGGAAATGGTTATGACTTTCTCGAAGCCATCTAGTTCTTTCATTTAGCAAATAATAGGATTCTTTTATAGTAGCTACGGTCGTTTCCCATCTCGTATTTCGTTTTGAATTTTCGAGAAATTTGTCTAAAAAACTAATTTTCGACGAGTTTAGTAGAAATTTTTTGTTTAATTAAAAAACGGGAAAAATACTGCTCTCCGTCGTAGTTGCTAGGAAGATTTTTTTTTTCTCTTTACCTATAGACCAGTGGTTACCAACTGGTGACACGCGAACTAAAGTATAGTTGTCATTATTAGTTTTTGTGGACAATTTTAGTAAAAAATCTATATGGGTTTCATACCTGCCGACTCTTCCGGTTTTCCCGGAAGATTTTTTTCTCATATTTAAAGTGCTAGCTGTTGTTATTGTTGTTGTTAATTTACGTCGCACTAGAGCTGCACAATGGGCTATTGGCGACGGTCTGGGAAACATCCCTGAGGATGATCCGAAGACATGCCATCACAATTTTGATCCTCTGCAGAGAGGATGGCACCCCCGCTTCGGTAGCCCAACGATCTGCGCGAAGTCGAGCACTTTACGGTAGCACAGTTTAACGAGGACCAATACCGCACACCCTCGGTCCCTACGCAGACTGATCCAAGTGGGTCACCCACCCGCACACTGACCGCAGCCAGTGATGCTTGACTTCGGTGATCTGATGAGAACCGTGTCTTAACGATCAGTCCACTGCGGGACTTTAAAGTGCTAGCAAAATTCATGTTATTTCACTAACCTTTTTGAATTATATTAATAATTATAAATAAGTTTGACCACCACTACATATAAATAATTACAACAAATATATAAAAAGCATATTTGTCCCCACGGTAGCGAATTTCAAGCTGGTTAAAATATAAATATCTTTTTGAGTAAAACTGTTTTTCGGTTATTGTTTTACTACCACTTGGAAAATCCATTCTCGAAAAGAATGAATGTTGGCAGGTATGGTGTTTAAAATACTTTTCTTTGCTTAAAAAAAACCATAATTTCTTCCTTTCTGGGAAATTTAACATACCAACTGCGCAAAAAAAACTTTTTTCTCAGGGTTTACATTCAAGAAAATATTTATTCAAATACAAAAATAAACGTATATCTTGCTTAAAAATCTACTTCTAATTTTAATTTGTAATTCTATACTTTTGCTTTGCACAACTTGATAAAAATCTGACAGTAATATTTAAGGTTCCTTCAAACATAAAGGAGTCTTAGATAAAATTTTAATAAAGTTGCGACCCGCCATTTGACTGGTATTTTTAATTGCGGCCCCCGGTCTTATGTAAGTTGGAAACCCCTGCTATAGACACTAGAAATGAGACGAACTCAGCTAACGGCAGGCTTTTTGTGTACTGATAAACAACTTAAGGGTTTGGGCAGGCTCAGATTTATAACAAATTTTTTTTTACGACTTTTAAACAAACGTTTAGTTCAGTTGAGTATAAAAAATTTAATAGACATAAAAATTCACTGTGGTTTGCTACTCCTGTTCAGTTCTTTTACTTTGGGAGGTTAGCGCTAATTATTTTATTTTTTAATTTTTGTTTTAGTCATTTTGAATTTCGGATGGTTGAGTTTTTGTCTTCTCTTTTTCTTTCACAGTTTAGCGATAGAAAAGGTGCATCATTTACTAAATCCCTTGTTTACACATCAAAGGCCAAGTGACGAGACCGTATAATTTGGCCTTTTATTCGAGGTATATTTCGCAGGACTCGGGCTCAAAGTAGTAATACTATGTGTCTCGAGCTCGGACGTCCAAAAGAGAGTCCGAGCTCAGTTCAGCTGTAAGACGCATACCCCTTATGCTTATTAAATATTTTTGAAAAATAGAAACAGAGCCTATAAGCACCTTTTTTTTTTAAATGACCGTCGTTGAACAGCCGACCCAATTTTTGGATTTACTACTAATAATGTTCAACTCCGTAGCCTTGTAATTTTGAACCCAATCCAGAAGATAGAGGAACTTCTGGATCAAGTATTGG